GGGGTAGAGAGAGATGGGGAGACACAGGGTAGAGACAGAGATGGGGAGACACGGGGTAGAGACAGATATGGGGAGACACAGGGTAGAGAGAGATGGGGAGACACAGGGTAGAGAGAGATGGGGAGACACAGGGTAGAGACACAGAAATGGAGACAGAGATGGAGAGACAGAGATGGAAACAGGTAGAGACAGAGGTGCAGACGGGGGGGGGGGAGACGGAGCGATGGAGGGGGAGGGGGCACTCACAGGAGACTGTCTCCCAGACTTCTCTGAGGCTCCTACTCCCTGGTCAGGGCTTGCCAGAAAACTGGTTTCTGTCTAAAAGTCCCCCCAGGAGCCTTCACAGCTGTGACCTTGACCCCACTTCCCAGTGACCTTGCCTGTGTGTCCCCAGGCCATGCCCAGATAGCCTGACTCCTGGGCTGCTGGTGGAAGGACTGCCTCCCAGGCGGCCTCATCGGAGCGACCCCCATGCCCAGGGCTGATGGGTGGGCCTGGACCCCACCAAGCAGAGGACCTGAGACTCAGGCCCCTGGGGATGAGGGCTGAGCGTTCAGGGGCCTGGGGGGCAGCGTCCTCCCACCCACCTCTCAGCGTCCAGCAGTAGGACCTGGGGCCACACAGCAGCTCTGGGGGACCAGGGGACAAGGAGGCTGGCTCTCGTATCATTGGGGAGTTTCCCTGGAAGCCAGGTCACCCACCAGGACAGTGATGCCATCCGCCACCACCTTAGCCACTGCCTCCAAGGACAGGTGGGGGACACCATGGTCCGTGCCCCCACTTCCCCACTGAGGCCCCTCTCATCCCACCTGTTGTGGGGTGTCGGGGGTCGAGGGGAGCCATGGTCTCCTCACCTCTGTGGCCCTCGGGGACCTCCCACTTGGCCCTGTCCACACACACCCGCAGTGGTGAGCCCAGCCTGCCCCAGGGCACAGGCTGGCCACAGCCCTCACCTCAAACACCTTCACGGCCCGGGACAGCGAGCAGGGCTTGGTGCCCTTCAGGGAGAAGAGCAGGCTCAGCAGGGCCCACCCATCCTTCTCCTCGAACGCCACGGCCTCCAGGGGGTCTCCGGGCTCAGAGGAGGCTGCCGCTGCTGCTGCTGCTGCTGCCGCCGCCGCCGCCGCCTCCCGCTCCTTGCGGGCATCCTCGATGAGGCTCTGCCGCCGCCCGATGAAACGTGGGGACTGTGGAGACAGGGACCCTGTGCCTCTCCTCCTCCTCAAGCCCCACCGACCCCACCCCCGGGGACCGAGTCAGGCTGCACGGCCACCCCAGGAGCACGCCTCGGCACCCGGGCCTCTGCTGGGGTCGGCTGACCCAGGCCGCCCTCTCCAGGCTCCACAGGCCCTCAGGCAGCCGGGCTGGAGAGTGCTGGACACCACGGCAGAGTCAGGGTGAGAGGGCCTCTCAAGAGACTCTGTGTCACCTGTCCCCAGGACTGGCTCTAAGTGGACTCAGGACCTGCCTGTCCTGCTCCCCAGAGGGTCAGCAGCCGAGTCCCAGGAAGCAATGCCAGGTGTCCTGGGCTCAGGCAGGAGCACCCAGCCTCTGCCCAATGTGGGTCCTGTCCTTCCTCAGCCCAGGCCCTTCCTCACACCCTCATCTGGACAAGGTGCTTCTCAGCCCAGCACCCAGCCAGGTGATCCCCTCGCCTTGCCAGCCTCCCCCGTCAGACCCCCACCTCTGCAGCCTTCCCCCTGGCCCCTCTCCTGGCCAGCACCTTGTTCTCCAGCACCCACTGCTCCAGGGCACGCTGCCTGTGTGCAGACACTGTTGGCCGCGTCCCTTCCAACCATCCCTGGGTCAGTGTGTCTGACCCCCTGCAGCCTGCCCAGGCCTGGACTGGGAGCCGTCAGCTCATCACTCAGCGGCTCTGCCGCCGCCCGATGGGAATGGAGGGAGGGGCAGAGGCCCTCTGAAGCCTCGTCCTGACTCAGGGGTGGGTTTTGTGGCCACCACCAGGGCCACAGTCCCAGCCTGGGAAGAACCCATGAGGTTGGGTGGGCCCTGGAATCCCTGGAAAGAGGGAGTCTGGCTGGAGACCTGGAAGCGAGCTCTCTTGACCCAGCTTTCCCTGAGAAGTGCCTGGAGATTAAGTTTCTGGGAGACATTGAGTTCTCTGAGCAGAACCTGTCCTGGGTGAGCTGATCATTCCTGGTCCCCAGGCTGAGCAGAAGGCCCCTCTGGTGGGCTGAGAGCCCCAGACTATCCCCTGCAGCAGGGCTTCCCAGCCATCTGCCTTGCACCCCCCTGACTCTTGGGTGCCCAGGTGCCAGGCCTCCAGGGAGCAGATGCATGGCAGGGGAGGGAGGGCAGGTGGAGCGAGGGGAGGGCCAGGTCACACTGGCACCCAGAACCTGGGCCTGCACCCCTGTCTGCCTGGACCCCCACTGTGAGCTGCCGCCAGGGCTGGGAAGGGTCCTGGCCCCCTCCCACTGCAGGTGAGCCGCTGGTTTGCTGACGGGCAGCTGAGCAGAGAGGCTCGGTGTGTGCCGCGGCTTGCTCTGGGCTCCTCTGGCAACCCTGGCCGAGGGCAGTCATGGGGTTCCCTCCCAAGACCCCAAAGGGGGATTTTTTTCCCAATTCAATGAACGGGACCACAAACCTGGAGAGACAGGCACAGGGAGACAGGCACTGTCCCACTCAGAGTCCAGCAGGACACAGCAGAGACACACACCAGGAAACAGGGACGGCTGCCAGGGCTGGACCCACACCAACCCCGGGCACCCATCTGGCCAGGGGCTGCCRTCACCCACGGGAGACAGCGGCTGCTCGGGCATCCGGTGCACTCTGGCCAACAGTCCAGGCACTCCCCTTACCATGATAGCCTCTGCCTGCTTGGCGTCCAGCTCTGAGACGGCCCTTCGGAAGCCCTTGGGCTGCGGCGTGGTGGCGCTGGGTGTGGGCATGATGTGGCGTGGGGGTCCAGGACTCTGTCTCGCAGCCCTTACGGGCGGCCTCTTAAAGGCTGAGCTGACGTCAAAGGCCCTCTGGGTCCTCCACCTCCCACCTCCCGCCTCCGCCTCCCTCTCGCTGCCTGCTATGCCTGAGGGAGGCAGGGGTGGGCGCAGAGCGGGGAGACGCAGGAGAAAGGGCTCTGTCCCATTAGATCTAATTGCCTCCATGTCGCAGGCACCTGCCTCTGAATCACCCTCAGTCCTGCAGCACATGGACCAGGGGTGGCTCACGCTCTGCCGGGGCAGGGGACAGCTGGGGTCCCCGCAGCCCCACACCCAGGGTGCGTAGAAGATTCTTTACCAGATTTTCCCACAGGCCCAGGGGCAGGTTTCCATCAGAGGCAACCTTCAGGCTTGGCGTCTGCCTGTGACCCCAGCCCTGCCTGCCCGTTTGGCCCCCGTGCTGCCTCTGCGGTGTGGTCCAGTAGGCTGTGGAATGTCCCGGAAGGCCTTCCCTCCAGTGTCTCCTTCACCCGATTCAGCCCTCCCCAAGTGCGCCAGGAGGGGAGGCCCACCCACCGTGGCAGCCCCACCGTCCCCCTCCAGCCCCTGCCTCCCTAGGTCCCTGCCACCCCTCCTCCTCTTGCAGGAAGCTCACCCTCCTGGGCATTGAGGGCCCTGGGCTCCCCACCCCGCCCCTGGGAGCTCCCACCRGCCACCCCTTTTTCGGCCAGCCCTGGGGTGACAGCACTAGAGCCAGCTTTCCTCGGCACCCTCAAGACCCTCCGCCAGTGGCCTCCTGCCCACCTCGTCCCGGCTGCCGTCCCCCTGCCCCACCTCCCCAGCCAGGCCTTCTGGGAAGGGCATCCTCTCTCACTGGGGGAGAGCACAGAGTACCTCCTCACCCCTGGCTTGGCAGGCAGGAGGCCAAAGGCCAGCACCCACCCTGAAAACAGCAGGTTAAAGAGAAGGAAGACCGGCCAGGCGGGCCCTGGGCACCCAGCATGCCACCCCCAGCAGGATCCTGAAGCCTGGGCCCCTCTCCCCTACTGCCACCTGGTGATACCCTGTGACCATCCACTCCCAGGGCAGCTCTGCCCCTCCAGGAACCCACACTCTGTTCTTCACAGCTGCTGGCCTCCTCCCTCTCCAACCCTCCTTCAACAGGCCCTGGGACTGCCCCCAGAGTGCTCAGCGTGACCCTCGGTGTGTCCCTGTCTCCGGGGCCCAGTGCTCAGTCAGTGCCCAGGAAGGTCCCCGTACATAGCACTGAGCTCTACCTCCACAGTTCTAACCTCCTGCTCAGGAGGCTCTGGGCTGGGATACCCCTTCTCCTGGCAAGCTCCTATGCACCCACAGAACCCAGTCCCGCTGCCATTCCCTCTGCAATGCCTCCTCTTTCTTGCCATATTGACCGCCCACTCCTCTGCTCCCCCCTGTCCCTTGCTCCTCCCTAACTCCCTGGGGGCAGGAACTTGCTCTCTTGAACTCCCTCCTGTCTCCTGGTGCCCAGCATCAGCCCAGGCCTGTCTCACCTCCTAGACACTTTTCCCCAAGAAGCAGGAGTCCAGGGTTGGGCCAGAGTGGGCCAGGGACATGTGCCCCACCAGCATTGAAAGGGTCTGCCCTAGACACCCCTGTCCCAGCTCTACCCCCTGGTACAACTGAGGATCCACACCCTGACCCCCAGGCCCAGGGGTGGCCTGGCCTCTGCCAGCACCCTGTCCTGCCTAAGCTCCAGAAGTCTCTCCTGCTCCCCTGRGAGCCCCGGAGATCCGCTGCCTGCCCCCCACCCCGGTGCACCGCTGGGGAATCCTCAGTGAGACAGGTCCAGGCAGGTCTGTCCTCAGTCCCACCCCGACCTGCCCCGACCAGGCCCGTGTGCTCAGGTGGCCCAGAGCAGGAGGCGACAGACCAACAAGCACCAAGCAGAAGGATCACGGCCGCCCTGCCGGATGTGGATTTAACCTTTCAGCAAATGTCTCTTCACTGACACAAATATTGCTTTTTAATTTGCTTTCCTGCCTGGGCTGGTGGAGCTTTCAGGGAACCTCTGTGGGGAGTGGGGTCAGGACTGTGCTTTCCAGACCCTTCCCTGGGCCCAGGGCACCCTGAGTAGAGCACAGACCAGAAGCTGAGGGCAAGGAGGCCCCTGGGTGGCCTTCAGAAGACCATGATGCCTGGCCTCCTGCCCCACTCAGGCCTCCGGCCTCACAGCCCACCCATCCGCAGGTCCCTGTCCCTGGAAGCCCTCCCCCAAGACCCATCCTCCAGGGCTGGCTCCCATGCTGGCTCCAGGGCCAGGGCCCCGCTCTGCTGCCCTGGCCAGGACTAACCCTGCCCTCTGCTTTACGCTGTGCCCGTCCCCTACCCTAGTTGGCAAAGGTTCTCAGGAGCCGCCCTGGTCAGCACCCTCCCTCCTGGGCTGAGCCAGGCCCTAGGACAGGGGCTGTCACTCCTCGCTCCTGTTCCTCTCTCCAAAGTCCTCTGCCAGGGCCTCTGCTCAGGCTCGCCCCCCACCCCAGGGTGGAGAGTCCCTTTCCATGATGGACTCAATGGCATGAGGTCAACCCTGCCTCCCCGGAGCCTGTGTGAGGGCCCTGGGGGGTCCTAACCCCCCACCTTCAGACAGACCATTCTGTCCATGGTGGGGGTTGAGGCTCAAGAACATGACCTCTGGTCACATGGCCAGTCTCCAGACCAGGTGCCCCGCCCCCAAGACTTGGGTTTTCTTGGGCCCTATGGTGACTATCCCCAGGGCTAGGGTCTCAGGACCCAGACGGCCAGGGGAGACATCTACCAAGCTGCAGCCAGTGCCCCCCCCCACTTGCAAGAGGATGGGGCTGGACAGGGGCTTCCCAGAGGCCAAACTCAGGTCCCAAGAGCCCGAGGGCCAGAACAGTGTCCCCAAGGGAGTAAGGGGCTGGGAACGGAACCCGTGGGATGGGCTCCAAGGGGTGGGTTAGTTGGAGGAGAGACACCGGCCAGCGCCCTCCTTCATGCAGCCCTCTGCCCCTGCTGCTGGCCCCGCCCTCAGTCATCCGAGTAATTGCAGGAGCCCAGCGCTGTGGCAATTAGGGACGCTGAGCCGGCTCTGACAAACGGAGCGTTCTCGACAGCCTCCTTCAGCGCCAGGCTTAATAGCCCATAATGACGGTGTGCCAGTGCCCCRCCAGGCAGGGCAGGGCGTGGATCTCACCCGCCCGTGGGGCCTCTCTGCACAGCCTGGCCCACTTGGGGCCACCCAAAACCCAGGCCCCCCTGAGGGGCCCAGTGATGAGCTGCAGAGGGAAGGGGCTGAGGAGGGCGCTGCTCTGGGACCCCTGGCCATGGAAGATTTCCGACCTGTGGTCCTGAAAGCCCCAACCATGGCTGACCATGATGGGCACATCCGTGGGCCTCCTCCCCTAGGGTCCTGCAGCCAGGACACCGWGGCCCCAGACACACTGACCCAGGCACCCAGTGTGGACTGCCCCTGCTCTGGGACAGACTGTTGAAAATCAGGTGCAAACAGTTTGGGGCACATGTTTGGGGCCCAAGATCACCTCCCATGGATCGCCCAGGATGAAGGGCTTTGTCAACCAACAGCATCTTATCTTCCTGCAAGCACCTGAGCAGACACACACATCTGTGCGACTCGCACGTACACACACACCCCGCAATGCACACAGACAGACAGACAGACACACGCACACGGCCCTCCATGACCAGGCCCACTCTTTAGAGTCCCAGGGACCCAAGGTCTCCAGAGAAGTCCCTCCACCTGGGGGCCTGGGGGTCAGGGACACAGACCTGCAGGGCCACCAACTGACACACACACATCCTGGGAGATGATGGTGCCTTCTCTGGGACTGGGGGGCCCTCAGGATGTCATGCTGCCCCGGGCTGTCCCTGGTACTCCTAGGAGTAAGCCCAGAGAACAGAGGACAGTAAGGCCGAGAGCTCCCCCCGCCATCCCAGCACCTGCCGTCCAGGCTGGGCCTTTCCCAAAGTCTAAGGAGGTGCCCCTGCCCCACCCCCCAGATGGAAGGGGAACCAAGACACGGGCAGGATCCAGCTGTCCCGTCCCTGTCAGACCAAATGCCAGGGCAATTAGCCCTAAGGAGGCCTCGGACAGAGGGAGCAGGAGCCGCAGGGCTGGCGGACGCAGTATTGACAAGACGGCCGGGACCAGGCCTGAGGTCGATCACAGGCACTTAGGGATGATTGGGCATTTGGAAGTCAGAGCAGAGGCGAGGGCGTGAGCAGAAGCTGCCTAGTCCCCACCACAACTCCGCTGGCCTGGGGTCAGCCCTCCAGGTCCCCACGGACGGAGCATCCCACTCTGTTCACTCCCATAGACCCCATCCCAGCCTTCACTCCCCCCACCCAACCTGCCAGGCCTGGGCCCTCCCCCAGGCAGCCCTCGGCCCAGCCTCCTCTCTGAGCCCCCTCCGGCCTGAGGGATGGACAGCACTGTCCCCTCATCCTTGCCCCTGGGGCCCGCCTGGATCCTGGAGACCCTCTGACTAGGAGACTGGAGGAGACTTCAGCTCAGCCCCTGAGTTGGAACAGTTTCATCTGGTCTGTGCACGTGTGCACRTGAACGTGTGCTGTGTGAGAGTGCACGCCTGTACCCGTGTGCACTCTAGCAAGTGGGTGTGTGTGCATTAGTGTCCACGTGCATGTGTACACAGTAGGGGCTCAAAAGGCCTGAGCAGCAATGGATATGTGATAAGCAGGTGACCCAGCTCCTGTGTCCCCCCAACCCTCACGCTGTGTCAGGGCGCAGGCCCTTGCTGTGCCCTCACACGGGTGATTCAGACCACGGCCCCCACCCGCCACCGCCTGCACTGGCTCCTGACAGCCTCCAACAAATTAGCGGTGAAAAGCAGTAAGAGCGACATTCTGCCCCATTAGTCACTCACAGCCCGCAGCTGTGTTTTGACAGCAATCACATCTAATTGCAAGACCACTGTCGCCCCGGAGCCCCAGCAGCACCGGAGCTCGGGTGTGGGTCGCAGTCACCTGCCCATGGCAGGGAGCCTGGGCGCCCACTCAGGGCTCACGGTGGCAGGGGGTGACTTGTGCTCCACTTTCCCTGCCCCACAACCCC